TAGTATAATGAGACTTATCACTAGATATGGTATTCTTAATGATGTCTGTCAAGAAGAAGAATTCTATGTACAGAGAAGGCCTTTATATACCAATGACTAGGCCGAATGAGTACTAGCGTAAGCGAGTGTTGAGTTACCGACACTGGCAAAAACCGAAAAAGATGAGGCTATTCGCATGCTATCAAAACATTACTTCTTCGAATCCTTCTCCGCAATGCTCTCCATGGCTGCAATCCCTCCCTTTGCTGTAGTGGGCGTAGATCCGGTTATGCTAGGCGTATTTCTAGTAGCAATGGGAGAAAGATGGACCCTTATGACCAAATCCCTGGACAGCTACATCAAGAATGCACCGTCCATATACTCCATGCACCTATCCTTGGCCTGTAGCCTTCCGCTCCTTCGTATCACGAATGTAGCCGAGCGGAGAGGCGAGCCAAGAGACGAGAAAATGACCATGCTGGGAGGCGAAAAGTGGAGCGAGAAAATGAGTATGCTGGGAGGCGAAAGGTGGATTGAGATTTTGCTAAGCGAGAAAGTAGGCTCTTTGAGGGTCGATATAGTACGCGGATGTAAAACCGCAGAGAGTTGGCTCGTATTGATAGGGCTGCTACTGGTAATACTCTTCTTCGTAGTGCTCTTCAAAGAATCCTCTGCAACGGCCTGTTCCTTGATCTCGAAGTCTTGAATGACTTGGTAGGGTGAGGGTAGTAGGTGTGGGACTCGGTAATCTGGGCCGCAGTTTGTGGTGGGGGGGGGAGGGAGCGCAGTGGTATCCTCAGGCTGTTGTTGCTGAATTGACTGCATTGGCTGTTGTTGAGGCTGACGTGGAGGGGGGCGGTGGCTTGGATGGGTGGGGAGGGTGGACTGGAGTGGTATCCTCAACAATTGGAGTGGGGCGAGGGTGGACTGGAGTGGTATCTTCGACAATTGGTTGATAAGGTGGCTGCGGGGGGAGAGGAACAGTGTTCTCCGGTCGATAAGGCTGCTGATAAGGCTGTTGCGGGGGGAGAGGAACAGTGTTCTCCGGTCGATAAGGCTGATAAGGCTGCTGTGGCTGAATTGGTTGTTGCTGAGGATAGTAATGAGATGGTTTTGGTGGGGGACGGTCTTCGTCGTCTGGTGGCCATGGGATCTCTTCCTTGATTACGTCCGCTAATTCTTTGGCCATCGAGAGTCCTCTTCCTTTCTTGATATAGGCTCCATTGGCCCGTAGGCAATCTCGTAGGCTGGTAATGACGTCCTTGCTAAGAACCTCGAAGTCCTCTCTGACGTATTGGGCAAAGTCGTCAGCAAAGACGTTAGAGAGTGTCCTATATTTGTGTATTGTGTATTGTTGTACCCTTTAACGGACGAATTTCTCGAGCTTCTCTTTGGTGTCTGGTGGCTTGGCTCCTAGTAGTTCCTCTAACTCACGCTTGGTCATGGTGCCTGGCGGTGTCTCTGAAGAATCAGGTTTCTTGTCCTTGGAGTCCATTTTGGGTGTGTGTTATGTGTTAATGTGGTGTGAAGCTTGGTGGTGTTTGGTGTTTTCTGGGTGTTTTCTCTGCTGGGTAGGAGTTGTAGGAATTATAGAAGTAGAAATTGTAGTTCTATTCGATCGAATCGTCACAATGAGCGGAATCGATTGAGTAACATAGAACCGTGTGAAGTACCGCGGCGATATCGGGACGGACTTCCTTCAAAGTATGGCCTTGCTAATCTGTGTACTAGTATTGAAGTACACTGATCAGTGTTGGTAATACCAGGGTATGCAGTTACTTGTATAATAGATCACGCGAGGATTGTCATCAGCAATATATTTTGACATCCTTAAAACCTCTCCATATGGACTTATTATCACCAATGTGCCGTCAACTCCAAAAGGTATGAAAGATCGAGTACTTTTGTCTGAGGGTACGACGAGCCGTTCGACACCCTCGAGGCCGCATAGGTTGGCTTTTGTCACTGGAGGCTTTTGAGATATGCTTTCACCGGTCTCCGTGCCGAGAGAGGCGTTCTCATCGAATGCCATGGTAGGGTACACTGTTTCTAGTGCTTCCTATAGGCACTCCTTCAGCTGAGCTTGAGGATAACTAGGAGAACTGCGATGGGCGACGGCTACTTAAGGTCTCAAGCTAGTCGGGCCTCCAGGTACGTGGTCCAAATGCACTGAAGAGAACTGTGGTGAGTGCCCCCTAGCTCAGACAGCGGAGCAGTAATCTATACTGCACACTGTTGAGCGAGGTTCGAAATCATAGAGGCTACAGAAGAATGTGGGGCAGAAGAAATTTATATAACTTATGACTCCGAAGTCGTAGAGCAGGCCATGAACACGAGCGCAATGGAGAAACGGCAGGGGAGATCATGAAAAGACGCCGCAGATTCGAGGTTGTCTCTTCAGCCTCGTGCTAAAACAGCCTATGCATCATCGTGCAGCCTACGCGGCGAAACTGAGAGCGGCTCCTCTTGCTCACGAGCCTCACTCTGTAGGATACATCAATGCGCAGGGATCCAGCTCCTCTTTTAGAGAATGTATGACCCATCTCAGCAGAAGCGAGAAAATTAGAGAAAAAACTTCCAAACAAAGTGGCGATAGAATGGAAGCAGATGGAGCGCAATTGCTGCACCAGTGTCAGCCTGCACAATGTTTGTACATATAGATAACAAAGCCGTGGCCGAATAACCTCGGCTCGCGTAATTCCTACAAGTTCCCGCGTCGCGCCAGCGGAGAGGTTCCTCTAGGGCTGATACTTTATGAATAGAGGTTGGGGCCTGGGCACAATTCTCTCGGCTTCGCCGTGCGGCTTCTAGCCTCGATGACGCCCCACCAATAGCCCCCGTCGTTGTCGCGTGCGTCTCCTTCCAATGACTTTGATTTTTGTTCATCTCAATTCTATACTTGTTCATGATAACATTCCTTTACCAGCTCGTCCCAGCATTTCTCTGTCCTCCTAGTGACCTCGATCAAGGCAGCTCCCGTACCCTCCCTTTAATGGCGGACCTTTTTATGTAAAAGCTGCAGTGGTGGCACCGAGGCCGCAATGCGCGCAGCTATATACATCATGAACGATAACCTCGACGGCACCGGAGGAAGGCTTGGGCCATGTTTACGCGCTGATGATATTCCTGGGAGCTAGCTTGGCTAGTCAATAGTCGCTTTCCTGAGAGCGACGTTGGGGTTCGAGCAGGAGATTATGCGCGAAGGTTGGCAAGCCATTATCATTCTGAGGGGCGACGGCCGCTGACAGAATCGCGTACACTAGCTTCCGACAGACTTGCAGATGCAAAAGTCCAAGCATGGAAAGATCACAGCCGAGCGCAGCAAGATCCTAACTCCTTCCGATCTCCAACATGCCCTCTGGGCTCTAAACAAAATTGATGGCGGCAATTGCTGGTGTCTTGAATGAAAATCTCACCAAGAGGATCAGAGGCTTCTATAATCTGAGAAAGGCTTGCATGACACTCGATCGTATGATCTGGCTGTGGAGGCAAGATACACCAGTAAGAGTGGTACCAGAGCAAACACTCTTGGGAGGAAGTCTATGGGTTCTCTAGGATCGGACAGATCTGCCGGGTCATTAAAAGGTATACCAGGAGTCTTTGGAGGCTTTGGTGATGGGACATCATCTCGAGGATCCTTTAAGCCGTCAAATGTACGGTCGATAGAGATACTCATCGGAATTATATATCCACGGCTGAAAGAGGTCTGAAGACAGAGGTCCACAGGGTAGTAAACGAGGATGCGAGTGGATTTAATGACGCTGACGAAAGCCATGAAAACAGTAAGACGCCAGGCTACAGTGCGATTGTTGAAATAGACGGCGCCAGTGAACATATGGCCCAAATTCCTGTGAAAGACGGAGAGCCATCGAGAACTAGAAAGGGTGCCTGTCACGCATTGAAGTGGAATGTGGCGGAGGCAGCGAAAAGGGGGTCTCTTTGCCGGTTCGGGGTCAGACGTCAGTACCATTCAATGTGCCTCTAATCAGGGGCATATATTGATGGACTAGCTCTTCCTCAATTGCATCTAACTAAGCGGCGATATACCCCAATTTGTGCTGAACATTTCCTCGAGTAAGAAGAGAGGTCGTTGAGCTTGGTTTACCTCGGATTTAGCAAAGGAAAATCTGATAACCTCTCGTCTCCACCCAGACGTTCGAGCCTGGCATAACCAAGGGGTTTAATAACGACACCGAGCATCGCGAATTTGCAGTATCCAAACGGCATGCTCTAACAATACTCTGATATTCCCAATCAGTCCGTCACAGGCCAACGAGTCTCAGTAGTAATTTGCGAGATACAAGTAACATTCTATGATGTGAATGGCATAATGGCAATAGGACCAATGGATCCGCGCGTCAGTCAGTCGTATTGATTACCGAGAAATGGAACATCATTGCTCCCGGGAGGCAAGTGAGTTTGTTTATCCCGTCTTCTTTAGCCCCGAGACCCAAACTCCCTCGGATCACATATGGTAAGCTCGTTAAGAGGCAGATATCTGAAGACTTGGATACTTCGATACTTGAATACATCCAGAGACTTGGCGACAAATCTCCCCCACCATTCTGCAGATTACGTAGTCTGGAAACGTCCACTGACTGACTGATGGCGTGGTGCCACTTTTGAACCACCGTTTGAGCAAGTTCATCTTACGTTGTCTGCAGCCAAGTGGAATTCAACCTGCAGCTCTCTCCCCACCATTTCCTGACTGGTGCTGAGAAATTTGGTGAAACGCATCTTGCATAGGCGTCCACTCACCAGGTTTCAAACACACAGCGTTTAGCGCATGGACTCGGAACTTGGAACTTGACCAGCCAATCCTCCTCTTTATGCCGTTATGCTTCACCAAGGGTTAGCCTGCTGCTCCTAACACTATCAAGTTGAATTGATCCTTCATGCCATGTAATTCTGTTCGCTGGAAAGGCAGCGGCAGCCTCGTCGCACAACTTGCAAGATCAAGAGCTGCTTCGATGTTCAAAATGCTCACGGAATTTTTGAGCGCTCGGATGAGAGGCAGGAGCTGAAATTTCGGAATGTATGCCTACTTGACATCCCAAGGCAGATTATGGAGGCTTAGCGGCTCTTCCAAATCCTTTGGGCCGTTCCCAGTCTTGCACTGCTGCTTATGTCTCACGGCTGGCTCGAGGATACGTCCGTGGTTCCTTTGCGTAACCTCGACTTTCGGGCAAGGCTACCATCATGAGCCCGCCTCACCTTCTGGCACGGCTAGGGCAAAACTTGACGGATGAGGTTGGAAGTCGCTCTCGTACTTGATTCCATTCCCTCTCTCCTCAGTTAGTTCCTTTCTATTGCTAGAGATCAACTTACGCTCTCTCAACATGAGTTCGCGATCTCCGCATACCGCTTCGTTAATGCAGAGCGGCTCAGGTGCTCATGTGAAGCCGAAGTTCAACGGGAAGCCTGGCATCAGCCTGAAAACCCCACTCAGCAGTCATTATTATGACCTCCGCCAATTGCAACCTGAAGAAGACTTGATTGAACTCAACGATGAGCCGCCGACCCCTCAGATACAGACCGAACACCCAAACGGACCTCTCCACCGGTCAGGCGGGAGCCCGTCCGAATCCAATCATGGGCTAACAAGATACCAAGCCCAATCGTATGTGACCTAGCAGAAAATCCTAGTACTGATGCAGGCTTTTGACAGTGATCTAGAAGCACCCGTGTTCAAGAACAGATAACTCTTCTCGATCTTGAAGATCCCCTCATACAAGGAGATTCGGCTTCGCGAGATGGTCGCATAGCTGGCGGTGAGCGAAGCAGGATTGGCCGGCAATCATATAATCTCATGTATTCGAACAGTGCTATCCTGCGTCCGACGTATCTGCTGACATTTTCGCTTCTTCCCAGAAACATCCAAACTCATACCCAGAGCAAAAGCACAAGCCGGCAGAATTCTGGCGATCAACTCTGCGATGGTTGTGAAAGATATGGTATCAATAGAGAATACTGCAATTTCTGCGAATGCATTTTTTGTACCAGCTGTTGGGAAAAGCAGGTATCTCATAAGATGCAGCGGAAAGCTCCAGGATCCATTCCGCACGAAAGAACCGATTGTCGTACCGCTGAGTTAATCAAGGCTATCTTGGAGGTCAAGGCAACTTCCGCTGAACAAGACATTCTGCACAAAAACGACGAAGACACAACATGGTTCGGCGTCGTCCGAGAAGATGATGAGCTACCTACATTCAGAGACTCTGACGACGTCCATCTCTATTTCTACTCAGACCCCCAGACTTGCATGTCAGACAACCTTATTATGTATGCAGATCGTGAGGGGCTGGAAGGCGGTGAACGAGAACCACTGGGAGCAAGACTAAAAAGGAAGGACAAGCCCTCAAAAGTTGGCCGGGTTGACTCTTTTGAACGAAAATTGCAGAAGATACATCACACATCGGAACGTGCAATCACCTGGGCCGATACAAACGCTAAAAGGAGCAGGGATTTCACGGTCACCCATCTGTATCCACGTCTTCTATACACCTTTTCTGATGTGGTAGTCTTTGTGCTCAAAATCCCCAGGTCATTCAGTGTTTTGAAGTTCCTTTTCTCTAAAAGACCTGGCGTTCTTACATGAGTGTGCTTCATCCACCTCCAAACGAAAAAGCCAGGTATATACGAATTAACCCACAATTGAAGGAGAATCCACCTGGCTTGGATGAAGTGGAGAGCCTACCTTACATCCAAGGAGTAGTCCGTGAGATGTCAAGCACGGATGTTAGTATACAAAATGTAGCGCTTCGTTTGATTGCTTCGAGCTTTTATTTCGAAAAATCTCACGCTGTGGAGCTTGCATCAGATGATTCTGTCCAGATAAAAGGTTTGTTTCCCCGAATGTCTTCTAATACAGCATGCTGAGAGCCGTCTGCAGGACACATATATTGCCGGTTACTGAAAGACAGCAAGGAGATCTCCGAGCTTGGGAAGTTCATGCGGAATAAGCTGCAGTGTGGCTATGAATTGTACTTCGTCATACAAGAAGAGCACCGGGGCCAGCACGCCAAGAAGGTTTCGGTCTCAACGGACGTCATCGAACGAATGATTAGGAAACGTCTGTTCGAGATGGACAACGTCAGCGTCCAGCTCTCTACTAAGATCGCTTACACCGAGATATTACTCCATATGGGGCCAGGAGATGTGTATCCAATCAGCAGGTTTCCAAGGTCTCTTTTGCAAGACGAAGATTCGAAGCCAAGTCAGTAACTATACTCCATCCGTTTGTGCTGCACTGTGGCTGACGTTTATACTTCCACTTCTAGGAACACGGCAAAACGTTACCCTAAATTCCAATCGATGGGCTGGCCGGACTCCAATTCAGCGAATACACCGCAAGAGTTGGATCCCACCTGATCTAGCCGAACAGCGCTCAGATCCTGATAAAATATCGCATTACTCGAAGCAGGATTATGTTATCGGAGAGTCATCCCAGGGCACGCTGCAAAGGATTGCCCATCGACTCAACAATGGCCCCAGCCCAGCGCAAATCCTGCCAGAGCCAGATACTTCGGACTTAGAATCAGAGATGGCGGAACTGTCGAGACAAAGATCTGCAGCAATAGAGCTCGACGGCAATTCCTTCGCAGTCGAACTTGACGCTGGCCCTGTCGTCGATCTCACTCAGCAAGCGAACCGTCCGCAGGGCGAGACTGACAGTAGCAGACTCTCGGAAGGAAACCCCATGGGCCACCCGTCTGGTCCATCCAATGAACCGCAAGATCTGCAAGCGGACACTGAGCACGCTTCGCCGAGGGCCGCTCCTCAGGTGGGGAAAGCAGATAGGAAGTGGGAGGGAGGTTTCTTTCGGTTTTGACCCATCGGCGTCCGGGACTCTGAAAGAAGTCCTGCGTTCACTGCGGCGCTGCAACTAACGTAGTTTGCATCAGCGTCGTCTTAGTCTATGTCATGGGGGCTATCCTCAGTGGAGGACGATATTCCTGTATAGGTGCAATTCCTCTGAAATGGTACACTTAGCGGAAGGGGTTTGAGGCACACAGATAAACCACAATATAGAAACGTCAGCTCCTGGTGTCAGCGTAGTGGGCCTGACGATGAGCCTCATTCCATGTGGTTGATTGCTGACCTCGATGCAACGAGCTTGATCACGCATAAATCACCGCAATCGAACGCTCCAGATTATCAAAATTGCTCCGACACCATTCATCACCAATTTTTACGATCACTGGTGCCTATATCTCTTCACAGGTTATTCTTCTAAGGCGAACAGGGTAGATCTGCTGTAGACGTAGTACCCAGCTCACCGCCATGCGGGGAACAGGCGGAACTAGTGAGCAAGCGCCCCGTAGTCACGCTTACCTTACTCAGGGTCGCATGTCCATCCGAATAGGGCATCTACTATATTATATATTCAATACCGAAGGTTTTATTGATTGTTGGAGTTCTTGCATTAGGGCTGTTCCTTTACACACTTGGATGATGGAGGCCAACTTCCAACTTTCCCAAGCACTAGGAATTCGATCTGCACGGTTCGGGAGGGGATGAAATCCCTGCCCGCTCGGCTTGCAATTTGCTTGGCCTGGATTCTTGATACTTTCGAAACACCATAGACAGTTCCGCTTTAGAAGCGCATGCATCACAATTCTCCGTCTTTTCTGCGGTAGTTGATAGAATTTAATGTGTCAGATCTCCGAGCTTGAAAAGACGTCGATGCCTATCAATTATCATACCAATGATAACTGAACCGTGGGTGAAAAGCAAGCCAGATGATGATGATGCGTTATCATGGATCGCTTGAAAAAGGCAGATTGGCTGCGCCGCGGAGCTATAGTATTACTCTACGGGACGCCCTTCAGCTTTGCCCCTGCACCTATTCTCTAATGTACAGCTGGATCATCTTGCTGATTGTTCATGATACTTAAGTATCGTGACTTCCTATCTACATTAGTATCCTTCTCGACAGTTTCGAGTAGGAGTACCGAGTGCCCTTGCTTGAGACAAGTCCCGGTCTTCCTCCCTGTTCCACAAGGGTTTTAGGGGAATAGTCTAAAATTCAGCCGGCTTAGCTAAACTTTGCTGCCAATCGATTCCCCATCCTCTTTTCCACACTCCTTCATTCTCCAAGACCTCCAAAATCGGTCCCTTTCTCCATCGACGACAGCACATAGCGTTTCCTGGTTTCATTGTCGTAGTGGGCGTTGTACAGCATCACTCCCGTCTGCCCCGTCTGTCCTCTTCAAGAGTCGGTAACGGGCCGTTCATTACAACACTAGCGGCGAACAAACAGCCCCCATAAAGAAATCTTGCAAGTTGCAACCTCCAACTCCTTGTCGCTTTCATCAGCGCGTCCACTCGCTCCCTCACAACCATACCGAGGTGTCTCTGACTTGCGCAAAGCTCAATCGACACATACGAAATTCTGCGGTGAGTTTTAAATCTGTCCGTCTGACTGCGCTTCCGCAGCACACCGCCTTGGCCGCAGCCTTACCGAGGTACCAAATCCTCGGATCACAGAGGCTTCATCCACCCTAAGCCTCATCACCACAGTCTTGCGCTTACCCTCTACACCCATCATTGCATGACGTCGCCTCTCGTTCCTCATCACTTATCCTTGCATCGATAGCGGAGACTGACCGCGTAATCAGATAGCGCCCGTGTCAGATCCCTCCCTCGTGCCGTAATCGCGAAAGCTTTCAACGACCGCCAAGATGGGCTGTGGGATGAGTACGGAGGAGAAGGAAGGGAAGGAGAGGAATGAGCAGATCGAGAATCAATTGAAGCGCGACAAGCTATCTCAACGGAATGAGATCAAGATGCTTCTTCTCGGTCAGGATGGCTAGTCTCGATGAAACAGCTACAAGGGCTAATACCATACCAGGTGCCGGAGAGTCTGGCAAATCTACAATCCTCAAGCAGATGAAACTCATCCACGAAGGCAGCTATTCGCGGGACGAGCGAGAGTCATTCAAAGAGATCATCTACAGCAACACCGTCCAATCGATGCGCGTCATACTAGAAGCTATGGAATCACTGGAGCTCCCTTTGGACGACCAGAGAACGGAGTACCACGTCCAAACCATCTTCATGCAGCCTGCACAAATCGAGGGCGAGAGTTTGCCCCCGGAGGTTGGAAGTGCCATAGATGCTCTATGGAAAGACGCTGGCGTTCAAGAATGCTTCAAACGTTCAAGAGAGTACCAGCTCAACGATTCGGCCAGATAGTGAGTAGTCTCAGCCTTCAGGCGGAAAGGATGTGGAATCTGGTGCTTGGGCCTTGCGAAGGGTCTCCAAACATGGCCCTTGTTCATTCTCACTACCCCACACGTGCGTTTGCTTACTCGTTCATCTTAGTTACTTCGACTCTATCGGCCGGATTGCGCAGCCCGACTATCTACCGAATGACCAAGATGTTCTACGATCTCGAGTGAAGACCACCGGTATTACTGAAACGACTTTCATCATTGGCGAGCTTACCTACCGCATGTTCGATGTCGGAGGTCAGCGATCCGAGCGGAAGAAATGGATCCACTGCTTCGAGAACGTCACGACCATCCTTTTCCTCGTTGCCATCTCCGAGTACGATCAACTACTCTTCGAAGACGAGACCGTCAACCGAATGCAAGAAGCTCTCACACTCTTTGACTCTATCTGCAACTCCAGATGGTTTGTCAAGACCTCAATCATCCTGTTTTTGAACAAGATCGACAGGTTTAAAGAGAAACTCCCGGTGTCTCCCATGAAGAACTATTTTCCGGATTATGAAGGCAAGCTGAACCGAACTGGCAACAACGGCGCGGAGCATCACAGATCTAATATTGCTGAAGGTGGACCTGATTATGCTGCGGCCTGCGATTATATCCTGAACCGATTCGTTTCCCTGAACCAGCACGAGACGAAGCAGATTTACACCCACTTCACCTGCGCTACCGATACCACCCAGATACGGTTTGTCATGGCGGCTGTCAATGGTATGTTCATCACCGCCTTACTTCCATTCGAACCTGCTGATGATTGGCTACAGATATTATTATACAAGAGAACCTTCGTGATTGTGGTCTGTTATAGGCCCGACCCAACCCAAAACGTGGACGAGAAGCTGAACTTTGTGGAGGCCTGTTCTTCTAAATGGCACCAGTCATTTCCCCCAAAGGTCGAATCCTTTCCGGCAAGCCCCCGGTCTGTCTCAGCCCCCTCGTTCTCAAGCATGCAAGCGCTCGAGATTTTGTATACCACGCCGTTCTCGTCCTGCCATCAGCCTGCTTTTCGGCGCGTCTTCGAAGCCATATGTCTTTCGACAATCACCCACCTTCCGATGCCCCAGGCGCTCGCGGTGAAATGTTCGGTGCGTTGGAACAATTTTAGTACGGTTATTATAATGTGATACCAGTCAGTGGGGACATGCGAGCACATGTTCTTTTCTTTTGTCTCACCGTGTGTCTCTCGGAGCGGAGAGTGGGATTGGTCTCGGGAATATCCATTTAGATTGTTGCGTGTGCCATGGCTGCAGGTGCAGGTATGTCATTAATCAGGATCATGCCATCGATCAAATCCACCTACCTCTTCAAGTCTTCACGTGAACAGGCTTGATGCTCCAGAGCTTTGGTGATCAACATGAAGCCTTTCTGTTTGCTCTATACCTTGCCAACTTCTCGAAACTATTGACACTGCTTGTATCAAACTCCAACCTCTCGTGCGCGCGCCGTGCGAGTGACCAAAGCATCCCAGTATCCGATGCTCCAACATTGCCCTCGCTCTCCCAACCTGCTGTCCCGCTTTGAAACTTCATTGGGTCTGTACGCGACCACTTCCCGTCTCCCCTGAGGATGCAAGATAGGTAGTGCTATGGATTTCCAAAGTAATCTGTACAATCCGCGGAGCCCATCATCCGCCATACCGAATCATCAGATGTAAGCCAAAGTAACGACTGCTACTGAGCCGAGCTTGTACTAGTACCAGGCGACGCCCACGATGACGGCGATCTACCTGATGGATACGGTGATGGGTTTCTAATACTCTGATGGATACGGTGATGAGTTTCTAATACTCTGATCATATCGGATGGGGCGCGGACGATGTTTGCTGCGTCCGGCATCTCCGTCAGGGTCCATGTCGAAGATGTCGCCGCCCGTCCACTTTTCAGTCTCGGTACTAACTGGTACACCATCTCTCACTCGTGGAGAAAGGAGCGCTGGGGTTTGTTGTTTGGCCATGTTGGGGAATGAAGGTCTAGAGTCGATTTCTACTGGATAGGGCGTGTGTGTGAGTGAGACCGTGCGCAGGCCTAGATACTAAATACGGTTCGACAGGGCGTTGGCGGGTCGTGAGAGATGTCTGAGGTGTCAGCCGCTACGCCAGCCCGGCACTAGGAGGGGTAGGTGGTTTTCTTTCTCCTTTCGTGTGAAGCCGTGCCCGGTTCCCACACCGCCCCGAGGGATTGTTTCGAGGTCGGGTTGGGAGGTCGGTGTCTGGGGTCTGGGGAGGGGCCCGCTTGAGCTTTTTGTTTCGAGGAAGTTGCGTGTTTTTGTTGTTGGTGCTGCTGTTGTTGACCGAGCTCAAGACGATCGCATCATGCAGATGGAGCAGGTCTGCAAAGTCTCTGCTCACGGTCACCGGCAGCCCATTTGCACATCAACAAAGTTGACCCAAACTGCTAGGTCGGAGCGACTTGGTCCATGACTTCCTCGTCGCCCGGATGCTTGGTTTGCTCTGTCGTCCAGACGTTTGCATATGCAAAGTTCGACCATCAGTTGCAAAAGTCCTGGCCGGATTTCTTACAGCACCGTTGGGCTCAGTCGCGTTCGTCTGGAGCACAAGCCTTTTCGTAACCTGCTTGATGTGGTCGGTATCAAGGTTGTAGTTCGACGCGACGCTTTTCGCTTCCTTGTAGACTCAAATTATCACCATCGAGTCCGAGAACGCAGACCTTGTACAGTATAACCGGCGGAGGGATTTCATGTCGCCCACGACGGTAGGAGAGTCCTCTAGCGCTCTCCAAGGAATCCCTTCGACTGGTTTAGCTGCTTCTAGTACGGCGTCCCTGGCAGGAGAGAGTGGCTCTAGGTGAAGCGCCGCTTGATAGAGTGTGGACGAGCCGTGAACAGCCTCCTCCAGGTGTCCTTGCTAGAGACCACGCTGATCTAAGACTTTTGGATGCGTTGATGAGCGACATTGACCCGACTCTTGCACCGGCATCAGGGCGACACTTCTACACAGTGCTGCTGGTCAATAGCACCGGTATGCCCGTACCGTAAACCCACAGTCTACCCTTTGGAATGTCCTGCGTCCGATAGCAGCTCCGGCCAAGCGTCGCATTGCCAGCCGGAATCGCTATGGCGATACGCATCCCGGCAAAGTCCGTCACCAACGGGTACAACCAACACTCTATCGAGCCCAGAGCCTCTGGGTCACCGAGCGTCTTGTCTGGCGGCAAGGTAACGCTACTTGAGGACCCGCTCTAAGGGGTGTCACGTTATACGTCAATCGGAAGCTTACGTCGCGGTGGCTATTCGTCTATAGGGCGATGGCGATAGGCTCACGTCCCCGTGCCACAGCCTCGGCAGGTTACATATATACACGTCTGCACCTACACGTCACATATACCTACGCTATACACACATACATGTGACACACAAGTCCGCCATCGTCGTAATCCTCCCTCTGTCTAGATATTTCACGCTAAGACTCGGCATAACATCACACCGATCCTGAGCAAAATACCGGGCCGCGCATCAGGGCCCACAAGGCTATATCACACCACACCACCTTACACCACGTAATTGGCTACACGTAATAGTCGACTAGCTATAAACCCGGGGCTAGTCATCGGAATAGAGGACGGAGGGCAAATCGAAGGTTGGGGATAGACAAGAGTATAGGACTAAGGGGAGGGCAAATCAGCTTACAAGAATACGAGGAGGGCAGGTGCCGAACGTTGTTATACTATCTAGGAATCCAAGATCTACAACGATAACCAGGTATACCCTACGTGATAGGAGGCTGAGTCCGATGAGTTATCCGTCAAAGGGTGATCTGGTCACACATGGCCACGTGCTGTAAGGCCCACGAAGTTTCCTCATCGTTGTTCTGGCCTTAGGCTGCGTACAAAAATGGAGAAACCAGAAAAAAATCCCCCCTTCCGAATCTTGCTTGATCTGGTTTGGATCCATAACAATTTACTCACTAAGTAATCACCGGGCTCATTCTTGCAACCTATCTCATTATCCTCTACAGGATCACGTATCTCTCTATCGTTGACTCTTATAACTACGCAGGAAGTGGAAGCCAACCAACCGGCGAAACCTATAGGTCCGAACAAGCCAGCGCACAACTGTCACACGGGCCAAAGGTTCGTCGACTGGAAGTTTTTCCGAGCGAAAAGGATCGCGAGGGACCTCATCGACGTAAGCTGAAACCAAGAAGTTGTTCATCCTCGCTCACCCAGCGTCACAGAAAGTTTTGCAATCTTTTCCCATCTTCCCCCGCCAGACAGGCACCTCAGGCATCCCTCCTGCGACTCACCAATCTCCGCCTCACTCAACCCCACGACACCTAGTGACCCCTGGGCAGAATATGCCCCCGGAACCAATGGCCCCCGTCTCCCTAGCCTCCTTCCCGCTGGCCCGTCGGCTTCACCTCCGGCCTCTCATCGGCCATCCACATCCCATACGGCCCACCGTACATTCAACCGCCCACCAGGTATTCCCGCGCATTCAACCCGGCAATCCAGATCCCGCCCCAGCCAACACACCCCCTCCCCGCACAATCTTCGTCCCCTTCCCCTCTCCTCCGCAGACCCTCTCCGTCCGCGAACCCCACCCGAGCACAGCCGTGCCACACCCCCATCCATCCATCCATCCATCCATCCACCCGCCCGCCCGGCTCGAGCAGAGTCTGCCAGCTCGTGGGATGCCCCGGTCCGTCCGTCATCCCGCGGATCAGGAAGTCGCCGCTAGACGTTGGTCCGGCGGGCGGCCCTGGCGTCGCGACGTCCGGGCCCCGTCTTGGGCGGGGGTACGGATTTGTCACGGGGATTGCGCGGGACGTTTGGAAGGACCGAACGCCGGAGCCCCGGGCGAGACGTTTGGAGACGGCAACGGGGGTCTGCGGGGTACGGCACGCGGAGATGGTAGCGTGATGCCTTCGGTGGCCGCGGCGGACGTCGGAGAAGTTGGGAGGTGCGTGCACTATGCGGTGTGTGTATTAGCTCGGGGAAGTGGGGCGGCTGGGCTGTCGGGACGGGCGGGCTCGGCGGTGCTGTTGTGATTGGAGGGTTCTTTGTTGAGCGCTGGGCGGAACGCACGAGCGGGGAGGCTTGGGACTGACGGGCTTACTCATCGGGAGAGTTGGGTCTTCACATCAGAGGGATGGGTTGTCTTCTCGCTGTTATAGGAATCATCCATCGCCAATTTCTCACCCCGGACACCCTCGGTGTGTCTGGATTTATTGATGCATGGCCGTCATGATGGAAAGTGTGAACGAGGGGTAGGAAGGTGTAGTTTAGTCGTGCTTTCACAGAGTGGGCCGATGCAAGTGATACTTCAAACATTGACCTCGACTGGGCCATTGTTGGTGCTAGATCTCAAGTGAAATCCAACAAGTTGACTTGAGTCTAAACCAGGTTGCTAGCTCAAACATTAAAATGTTATTCTGTCTATTTGGACCAGGTTCTCTTTCGTAGATTGTTGTTCCGTACATTTCCCAGAACCCCTTTGTAGCCCATCTCAACGATCTACCTGAATGACGGGTCCTGTATGAACATTTCTTGCGCGGAAGAGGTAGTACAGCACGCTAAAAACCATCGTACCCCCGAACATGAGGCTGCTGTAATTCATCGTCGCAGCCGTTGGATGGTTCACGGGCGGCCACAGGCTAAAGAAAAAGATGATGATGAGATAGACGGTAGCGAAGCTGTTCGTCATTATATCAAGAACACCAGGAACACGCCAAGGGCCCCACGTGAGTTCCTTGCCAGGGACATTGTCGAGTCCGTCTCCTGAGCTGGGGGCGAGCTTGATGTCGCCGCGTAGCCGGCGCCAGAGAAGAAGCACGGCGACGAGGAAGTAGGAGCCGAAAAGGCCGACGACGGAGAGCGAGACGATGTCGTTGAAAGCCGTGGAAGAGCCGAGCACGATGAGGGCGAGAACACAGGCCGGTGCCGTGGTCGAGAAGACGGCGAGCGCGGGGATTGCGGGGTTGGAATTGACACGCTGGAGGTGCTCCCGGCCCGGAACGGCTCTGTCGTGGGAAAAAGCCCAGAGTTGCCGAGATGCAGATGCGACAATGCCGATCGTGGCGTACAGAGAGAGCGTAATGACTATAGACGTCATGAGCGCCGCTCCAGTGGTATCTTAAACGGCCTGGTTGAAGATCTCAATAAAGAGGTAACCAGTGTTTGTATGGAGAGCAGCGTCGATATCACCAATGCAAAAGAGTAGTGCGAGCGCGATGCCGAACCCTAGCAAGCCATTCAAGACGATGCTGAACACAATCGCCTTCGGTACAACGACCGCGGCATTTTGGATCTCTTCGGACAAGTGGATCGCTCCGTCTGCTCCAAAGAAAGCGTACACGTTACCCAGTAGCCCGACGAAAAAGGAGAGTCCATCGTTAGGCCAGTTTCCCCCGTTGATGAATGTTCGGAACACTTGTGAGGGCTGCGCATGAGGCCCATGGATGACCAGTGGGAGTAAAATAGCAAAGAAGCCGAGTATGTGGAGAATGAGTATCAGTCCTTGAAATTTGGGAAGCCAGCTGCTGATGACGGTATTGACCGAGACGCCGAATAAGATGACTCCCCAGAAGAGCATAACACTATGCCATGGATGAGGGTCATAGCTAGGATCGGTAAGAGTGATCAAACCCCGCGTCATCGTCCCGTTCAGGTATCCGACGGACGCGCAGAAGGCCTGCCACCCGAGGACTGTTAACCATCCTACGGTCTCGTATTAGCGTGCGAATTACATTTTCATACCCCAAACTATGGGATTCTTACAAATTCATACCCCATTTTACATTTTCATACCCCAATGAGGTATAAATTTGTAAGATACCATTAACAGGGGTATGATTCTGTAATTGCCCCGTATTAGCGAGGAACAGATGACTGTGCTGTGTCAAAGAGGGATCCAACCAGTAACATAGCTAAAGGACTTTTGATACTAAGGCGGGGCGAGCATGGAGACCCAATGATACTGTCCTCCCGACGTTGGTGCCCTATCCATATATGTCAGGACTCTCCTACTCTATCAACTTTCTTGAGCCACGACTGCCGCTACTCACATTGATGTCGCTTCTGCCAATGTAAGGAATACCGAAAGCGGTCCTATCCAGACAAAGATGTAGCCGTATATGACTCCCGCAGGACCGCCGCTACATGGCTTTTTAGCATGTTGCAGAAAGACGGCGAATTGAAAACACCTACTTTGCGAAGCCTTGCGCGAATGTTCTTAGCTACATTAGCGCTACTGCCTCGGAAAGAATCTTCGATTCAGGGCCGTACATCGGAAAGCCTTGCCAGGTGATGACTACCGTGCAGCTGAAGCCCGAAATGGACATGAAGCCAAAGTTCCGCTGTCACCGTTACTAAAAGGAGAAGAACAAGTATCGGCTGGGAAAGGAAGGTTATAGGGCGCCATACCTTCAGCACGGGGTTTTTGCCCATCCGAGCCATGTCTTTATCGTCATTGTTCTGTTTGGCCTTCATGCCTCCAAGCTCCACTGCTTTCATCTGTATAGCGTCCATATTTACAACAGATTCTTTCGGAGCGAACCAAGAGGATGAAAGTAAACGAGAAAAAGTGAAGAGAAAAGGAATGTGTACTCCAAAAAAAGAGAAAACTCGGCATTTCCGTGGACACCACCGTAGAAAAGTGGGGGAGGGGAAAGCTGCAATCGCGAATGGGGCGGTAAGGTGCTCAATGCAGCCCCCCGCCCGCCCCACTTCGACCAAGAGAACGCTGAACGAGGTAGGCATGGATAGTCATGATGCAACGCAGGTATCCTCCGCGTTAACCATCCTCATCGCTACCGCGGTTGATAATGTTATCGATCCAATGCCTCGCTCATGCTTGGATAGCCATAGGAAGTTATCATGATATCAAGGGTCAATCAACATCTGGTCCGTTACTCGAAGTAGGATGTTGTAGGTTTATGCCGATGACAATCGTCTGTCCGCTGACCGCAGCTTCAATGCCTATGGGGATGCCGGGCATGAGCTCTGCTGGAATCACTGAAACGATTAGATCAATGAAATGCTGTAACACGACGCAGGTATCTTGTAGCCGTGCCTGCGAATGCGCACATGTATCAACACAGTACTAGTGCTGTGGGTGGTTACAGCCATAACTGAACGGAGCGTCTGTTCTACAACGGTACTGCAATTGATGTTTAAGCTGACCAAGATTCTTGACTTCATCATAATAGGTCTGGAATAGGATATCAATAGCAGGGTAAATATAATTTTTCTTGTAGAGTTGTCGATACCGGAACGGTGTCGGAACGGTTCCAAAATTTCTATAACGGTCCTAGAAATCCAGCGGTGTCAGAGTAAAACATTCGCTCTGTGAGGTCAGCCTTGGTCTATAACCGTATCAAGAATTTTTACCGATAGTACTCACTTTACAATTAATCCAACACGGTGTGCGCAGTTGCAGATAACCCTAACCCTAATACGCCCATACTTTAAGGTCGGGTAAAAAAGAGGCCTTATTTTGGTCCGTAGAATTATGGTTCCTAAGCCAAAATAACCAATTAGATACCTTAAATGAGCCCGATAGTGAACAGAGTGTTCAATGCCATTCGGATACGAAATTCGATTGGTCAGATCTTGGCGTTCAGGACTTTTGGTGTCTACCTCCGTAGGGTGCGAAGGATCGAGTTCCTTTGACGAGCCTGCGACGAGGACGGGCATCACTGGAGTTGTAAGTGGTGCGCATCCGGGACTTGGATGAGGTGTTGGCTGGACGACCCTTCCGGCGAAATCTTGGCGCTCGAGTCTTGGCGTTTGAGATACTATCAAAGAGTGATAGTGGTAGAAAGCTTCTTTCTAGCACGAGGTATCGTCAGCCGGGATCTCTTTGAGACGTCTCACCTATCAAGGAAATTTTCCATATCCTGAATCGGCCCTTGCTGAAAGGAGACAGCAACAGATTCCTCGTGAGCAATGGCAAATCAGATAGACGCGCTTGAACGGCAGATCCAAGCGACTCGGCATCGCTTGCTAGGCGAAGCACCGGTCCCCTTCAGAAACTGATGCTAATTGCTAGCATTTCGTAATCTTCGAAGGTTATTTTCTTCTACTCGTGCTGTCCAGGAGTGAGTTACCTCGCTTAATAGCGCCGGGAGAGTTGACCAATCAAACTACGATTTTCGCGGAGAACTGAGTAATTTGATTGGTCAGCTCTCCCGGCGCTATTAAGCGAGGTAACTCACTCCTGGACAGCACGAGTACACTTACTTACTAATATCTTATAGTTATGACAGAGCGTCTCTGTAGGTAGATATTGGCTGCACCTCGCTGTCTTTTGTGGTACTTGTGAAGGGATAAGATTTTTGGAATCCCGCGTAGGCCAGTACGTGCAGAGCCAATGTTCTTGTATCTTCCGACGTGCTCCTCGCACTTCCATTCGTGTCAGGAAGCCAGGCGTCCACCGTATCACCTGCCTGACGCAATGACTCCCTCCAGATGAGGGTACCCTTTTGCTCATTGAAAGGAGTTGCGGTAAGTTTTCGTTGACGTTGCCATTCAGAGCCTTCGGCCTACAAGTTTGGGTGAGCAATGGAGATTCAAGAGCACGAACAGGGTTAGTCACCGTGGAAATATTAGGTCCGAAGACGTTCAGCATGCCTATTGACAGGTCAGCGTCAGTGAAACCAGGGCTGGCAATGGTGGATGTTAGGAGCAGCCCCTACGGGGGCCCCGCGACGTCCCTACGGGGGCCCTACGGGGCCCTATTTAGGTCCAAATAGGGGTGTCTGACTGTCAAGCGTAGACACCCCCGGAACCAGCTTTTTTAGCTGAGTTGCTAAGAGTGGACCAATTAACTGGTCCACTACCAGTGGAACCGTTAGTTTCTCGTAGTTGATGGTGTAATGTGAGGTCTACCGGTTGGTAGTTGGTGTAGTTCTGACCTTAAAAGCGACTGGTTTCAACTGATAGTGGAGTATTTTATGATAAGTTTTTTAAATATGTGCTGGGGCGCGGGGCTACCCAGTAGTGGAAAACTTGCCGAGGATGTGAGAAGACTGAGAAGACTGAGAAGACTGAGAAGACTGAGAAGACTGAGAAGACTGAGAAGACTGAGAAGACTGAGAAGACTGAGAAGACTGAGAAGACTGAGAAGACTGAGAAGACTGAGAAGACTGAGAAGACTGAGAAGACTGAGAAGACTGAGAAGACTGAGAAGGCTGAGAAGGCTGAGAAGACTAAGAAGATTACTACTGCATAATACCAATTCTATTAAGGGGAGACCCCCTAAACCCCCTACCCTCCGGGGGCTCCTGCCGGAGGGGCCGTCCTCGCAAGCTCGAAATTATTTACATAAAGCCTATTTTGAGATCGGTATGGGGTCGGCAGGAGCCCCGTCCTCGTAAGCTCGAAATTATTTACATAAAGCCCACTCATTTTGAGATCGGTATGGGGTCGTCCGCTTCGTCAAGATCAAGATTATAACTATAATCCCTCTGAAGAAATTCCTTACAACGATCATCAATCATAAACCGAAGTTGCTTATGAATAGCCTTAAGATCTTTATGCCGAATCGCCGTACATAACAAAGTCTCGAAGTCAAGTTCATCCTTAATTTGAGGCTGATCGGCCGCCATGCACTGATCTTCCACAACGTGAAATACGTAATCTAAGGCGTCTTGTAATTCGGTACTAATAGGCCCTTATAAGAATCGCTCTTCTTAAAGACGTATCCAATCTCTAAAATCGTAGCTAATTTTAAGAGTGTAACTGTGAGAGAGCGCGCTCGGTATTTTGTTTTTGATGATTCTTTTGATGCCGATTTGCAGTACGTCGAGTTGCAGAGGATGCGAGGCCAAAGTCAAGAATTGATTGAGACATCTTAGGGATACGGAATAATATTTAAGAGAGGATTGGACAAGATCAGAGAAGAAATTGATGTTCTTTTAGTGAGAGAGCGAGGGTCGGGGACAAAAGTCTCTGCCGACTTTTGGTGGGGGCTGCGGGAGAAAGTCGGCAGGGAGAAAACAGAGAAGAAATTGATGTTCTTAGCCAAGATCTACTAAATCCTTAGTTACTTCCTAATAAGGTAACAGTTTCCCAGAACAGTCTCACAGCGAGGCTTGGCACAGAAGTGATTTTATTCTTGAGCCAGGGAGAAAGCAAGCTTTCCAAAAGTCGGTTTTTTGGGTTAAAAGAGCTAAGAGGTCAACATTTATAGGGCTGAAGTAGGGCTGGAATAGGGCTGATAGGGCTTAACACTTGGTATATTGGCCTATTCCCCCCCTCGCCACTGAGCGATACTTTATCTTTTATTACAACTGCCCCAGTAGTTGGTTTTCAATATATGGTAGTTGGTGCAGTTTCGATTTCCAAATCTAGTAGTTGGTGCAGTTTGGCCTCCAAAGCCAACTATGTCCACCGTTGCCAGCCCTAAATGAAACTGATCCTTCTATTCCCAACCGTATCGATTATATCGAAAGTGATAGCAAACAACGAGGGAAGTAACATCAGCAGCAGACGGACCTATGTACTCGCTGTAGAGAGACGGAAAGAGGGTGTGCACGCATCAGTAATACATATCAATTACGGTCCGAGGCAATGTATATGGAATGAGTGATTTCTAAGGATTGGCTGATGATGATCATGGGGTCCCGCCCTGCATAGGCAATAGGATTGACTGATGGAGCAAAGTGGCCCAATGCCTGATGGGAAGGGTCCAAAAGAACATCCTCGGCCCTCGGGTACTAAGATATTTGACGCCCGGCCCGCAAAGCTTGCCCGATTGCTTCAGCCTCATATACCCGCGCCAAGGTGCAACGTTCGCGTACTACCCTTGTTGGAATCTGCTGCAGCACACTGTGTTGTAGCTACCCCGCAGCAGGTGGCAAATTAGCATGGGCTTCACTATATAAGTAGCCTTTGCTTGCGGGGCCGAGCCTAGATTTCTTCTCTTCCGCCAACAATCACTAGATGTACGTTGTACATGCTGCATTATCAACCTTGTACGCGTCGAGCTGCAACACTTTCAACAACGGCTGACATGCAGTAGCGTATGTTTACACCAGTAAAGAAGCGGTGTGATATGCTCGATCAAGGAAACGATCATGCCCTATCTCTTAGCCTGTCTATCCCAGAGCTTTTTTTTTTTTTTTTTTTTTTTTCGTGAAGATTGCCATCCGTACACCGGCAATAGGGTGTCGGTCGGCATGACAGCAGCTCTGATAGAACGTATAATGTTTCATCCTTTACATACCCTCGAGGCTCAATCCGTCGATGCATGACAGCCTTTGCTTTGATCGACTGCTTCAGGTTTCCTGTGGAAAATTTCTTCAGGGGGGGCAAAGGGGGAACTGAGGGTTGATATCGATCCTTCAGATTCGGGGTCCCTATTTTCTCCAGCTCATCTGTGCCTTTCAGGTAACACATACAAACCGAAATCAACAATCATGCTGCTAGCCCCTGTCGAAAATGCTGCGCTCCCAAACTCGGTGCCGTAGGCCGGGTTCCAGCCTTTGTTTCCGACTGCTGGTTCGTCGAAGTGAGTACATATGAGTTCATGCCATCGTTTAAGAGAGGAAAGGCATTTGTCACGCGCTCTATAACTCTGAGGAAACAGCCATCGAGGATAGCCTTTGGCCAACCCTGGTAAGACCTTGTTGAACGCCCAGAAGTCTTCAACGAAAGTGGGGTGCTTCAAAGAAGACTTTGGCCACACATGGCCTCAACAGCTGCGGGAAACAATCCTGCTTGGGAAACTTGACCATTACGGGCGTACAGAGTCAGTATGCAAAAGACGCTCGGTCAGATTCGTCGTAAAGCGCCTAGCGAAAGGCTTCAAACCATCGCCTGTTAAGAATGTTGACACCGACGAGTATGTGAGATATTCGATGCGGAGATGCGGCGGAACTTTACTGTGTGGGTGCGGTTGCAGATGATGACCAAAATCGTCATCCATCCAAAAGGCCAACGCGTCCTTCGGCATCTTGCACATGTTGTGGACAGAAAGAGCTTTGTAGGCTTTGTTGTGCAAATCTGGCTCCTTCCAGATAGCTTGTATGATCTCGGAACCCGATATGAGGTACAGATTCGTAACCAACAGTCGAAGTCGAGCAGGAATATGTTTGAATCGAGTACTTGACAGCATTCTGATATTGTGGAGACAATCAGACAGACTTGCATCCAGAAGATATGAATCCAGACGACAGTTGCAGTCTTGCCTCGATTCGAACACTCATGACGGGCAAGCACATCAGCCAGAAGCATCGCTCCTGCAAGAACAAGCCCTAGCTCGCATAGTTAGAATGGCACTAAAGCTGCGTCTGCTTCATGCATGCAACTTCCGGCAAACTTGAGGGTTGACGCGGAGGCTAGTCTGCTCCGTTGCATGCATGATCCCAAGAAAGTAAGACTCTGCCTCACCAATAATCTTTTTTGCGCTGTTACCACCCACCATTACCTCTAGTCATGGGTATATGAAGGCATTCTCTGTACATAGATATCCTTCTTCCTTAGACATCATTAAGAATACTATATCTAGTAATAAGTCTCATTATAGCAGTAACTACATACCCAGATATTTACTAATACTAATTAGTATACTTCAATACTAGTATATAGATTAGCAAGGCTATACTCTTAAAGGAAGTTCCGCCTCGATATCGCCGCGATAGCTTCACACGGTTCTATGTTACTTAATCGATTCCGCTTATTATAACGATTCGATTAAATAGAACTATAATTTCTATAATTCCTATAACTTCTACCCAGCAGAGAAAACACCTAGAAAAACATTAAATACTATTAAGCTTCACACTATATTAATATATAATATACACTTAAAATGAACTTTAAGGATAAGAAATCTGACTCTTTAGAGACATCATCTAATACTATAACTCTATATTAACTAAAGAATATACTAAATAAGGAGAGTCGAACTAATAGATACCGATGAGAGAATCGAATAATTTATTCGTTAGAGAATATAAGACTATAATAAAAATAAATGAGAGTCCCTCTCCGATATCTTTACTAAGGAATTTCGACTATTCGCTAAGAAGGACTTTAAGGCCCTTTTCAAAGAATAGCAATATGGCTTACGAAACTGCCTACGAAATAATAAAGTCTATATTAAGAAAGGACGAGGGGTTTTAATAGCCGAATTATTGGCGAATATAATTTAAGAAGAAACCCTATAGCTACTAGACGACGAGAATCGTCCTTCACTAAAGCATCAATACCCTCCTCAGCAGCAGCCTTATCAGCCTTATCGACCGGAGAACACTATTCCTCTCCCCCGCAACCGCCTTATCAGCAGCCTTATCGACCGGAGAATACTGTTCCTCTCCCCCGCAACCGCCTTATCAACCGGAGAATCCTACTCTAATTCTCCCCCAACACCAGCCTACGGCCCAAATTACCGAGTCCCACACCTACTACCCTCGCCTTATCAAGTTATTTAAGACTTCGATATCGAATAAAACTATGGCCATAGTAAGGAACTCACTACCTGGCCTAAATTATATACTATCGAGGAGAAGTACGATGGAAAGCCCTATCGAGAGTCTTAGCTACAAATTTATGATTTTTATAAATCTTTATAAGAGAGCCGAGATTCCCCTAGTAGATCCTTTAAATAGTATTTTCTAACTATACTAAAATCAATAGTATTAAAATATTACTACTCTAGTTATTAAGGGATTAGCCTTATTATTTAATAACTCTTCGATTCATTTTTAGAGCTATTTCGAGGGAGAAGAATATCGTCGTCTTATGCTTTGTAAGTGGAATAGTATTAGTCTAAGAGGCTTACTTCGAGCTAGTCTCGAAAAGAATAAAGGGATTATCTTTAATAAGATGATTTAATAACTTCGTCAAATCTAAAGAGGGCTAAACTACGAATTTTAGTTAGATATAGCACTTCGAAATAAGATAGTTATCTCTTATAGTAATATCTCTATATATAGTATTATAATTCTATAATAGACGACTATAATTACGGGGCTAATTAATAATATCTATACTATAATCGAGAATTACGAAGAAGCTATAAAGGCTAAGAGATTCGAGCTACTTAGGCCTATAATATACTTTACTAATCGAAAGTATTATATTAATCCTTTAAATCAACCTTCAAATTAAGGTAATTATAGTAGACCGTCTTCGAAAATAAATAGCTTTTAGAAAAAGGGTGCTATATCTATGGGAAGATACGCTACTAATTAACTAAGTATATCGATAAGAAACGCTAGAAGTCTC